TATATTTATTATATTATTATATATACGTTTAAAAAAAATGAACATCATAATTTAATCAAATGTCACGAGATGATTTAACTAAGACTTGTATATTATAATAATAACAATTACAAATGATTTCTATCGTTAAAACTGTGTTACGTATCCAAAATTCCTTTTGTAAGTATAATTAATCATAATTTTTCAATATAATTTGATAAGTTCATTCTTAAATTAATCCTGCAAAAAAGTGCATCATCTCTTTCCAATTTGTATAAAAGATTTCTTTTAATATAATGGCGTAGAAGTATCTTAACGTTGTTTAAATGCATCTAACATCTTATGGCATTACTTAAAGCTATATATCTGATAATTATGAAGCATGACTTAGAGATTAATATTAGTTGTAGCAGTAACAATCTCTTGTTCAAACTGTCTCTATCTCTCTCTCTCTCTCCCTCACTTTCTCTTGCTCACTTAAAAAAAAAAAACCATATTGAAATACGAGTTAAGCATAGGATTATCACGCAAACCACACACAATCACAATGACATAATTAATCGTTGCTAAAGAGAATCATTTCAAATGAAAATATATAATATTATATGCGATAAGCTTATTAAAATATAAATTTCAACCAAGTTTCTGTTGGAATAAGAAATTATTTTGTTGAAATGAAAAACGTAATAGGTTGACTTTCTTACCTCTCTTCTTTTCTGTATATCTTTCTCTCTCTCTCTCTTCGGTTTCTCCTCACCTTCCTTCAGCCCTCTCGAACGGGGGTGTCCCATAAAAAAGTACCTCTCGCACGAGCGAACGAGGAGGCCAAGAGAATTTACGGCGGCGGCTTAAGAATGACGGCTTGCACTTTAGCTTAAGGCAATACTACACGTTGGTTAACTCCTACGGTATACTACAGTACGTACGATCTTAGCACCGCGAAATGTCTTTCGTGCTTTCTAATTACGCGAATCTTTTGTTCTGTCTTCTTCCCTTAAACCTTTAGGGTAATACACACTTCAGGATATTACGCATAAGTTTCAGATTTTCAAATGATATTCTATCCTAACGTATCACGTTATTTTTTCCACATTCACATTTAAATTAACAATTATAAAAGATACTAAACATTTTTTCAAACAAACATACAAAAGAATCCAATTTTGATTATTATAAAATCATCAATATAACACGACGTAAAATAACGAACAAACGAACGAACGAACGAACGAACTTTCAGCGAAAAGAAAATAAAAGAAAAATAAGTATAAGTATGAGAAGCGTGACTAGAAGCAAGTATGATAGATCTCATGGAAAATGGGAATGGGGGAAGAAAAAAAACAAAAAGGGGGTGCTCGTTCTGCACCCGCGGGTGCTCGTTTTTGATTTTTCTCTCTGAAGGCACCACGTACCACTCGAGGCAGTTAATAAGCATTACCTACTACGAATATGGACTCGATTGTATGAGAATGAGAAAGACAAAGAGAATAAAGATCAAGAGAAAAAAACAAAACAAAAGAAAGGAAGGAAGGAAGGAAGAAGGGAAGAACTGGAGGGCCCTAAAGCACGTCCCACAGCCACCTATGGGAGCCGCCTGTTTTTCTCAAGGAACGTTCCTCAACCTTACGTAAGTACCAGAATGGGAGACAAAGACAAGAAGAAGAAAAAGAGATAATAGTATAAGAAGAAGAAGAAGAAGAAGAAAAGGAAGAGAGTAGGTGGAGGGTGGGTGGGAGGTAGGGGTCGGGGGAGAAGGAGGAGAGGAAAGAGAAAAAAGGGGGGCATCGAGGACGAAGAAAAAGGACCTCGGGGTCCGTCTGGGATCTTCTCAAAATGATTCACAGCCTCCGGTAATTTACATTCGCTTGCGTGGGTGATCGTCGTTTCTGGGGGGCCCGCCGGCCATATTCTCCTCTTCGTCGACTACCATCGAAAAGGTTAAACATACACCCACCAGAGGTCACATAAGCGGCCAAGAGAAAGACCGTTCGTTCGTTGGTTCGTTCGTTCGTTGGTTCGTTTGTACGTTCATTCCTCTGATCTCTCTTTTTCTCTCTCACACACACACACATTCTCTCTCTTAACCATTCTCTCCTTTATTTTTCTCTCTTTTCCCATCTCCCTATCTCTGTCTTTCTTTTCTTCTTTGTAACTCGCGAGTACGCGCACGCCTACACACCAAGAAGATATCACGAACAAGCTCACCCATCTATTCACCCTTCGATAGATCCAATATACCAACAGAAAAGAATCATTGGAGTTACTTTTCCATGATAAAAATCCTTCTTCGATGTTACCCCTACTTTTACATTAATCCTCTCGATTACCTCTTCTCTTTGAAAATGACATTACATTGCCACACACTATTGCCATTTTCTAATAATAATATCAGAAATGTCGGAAGATTCTAACGCGTTTCAATCGTACCAACATTAACGAATTAATTATATTCGAAACACATATCTCTCAATCGTATAACAATTTAATATTATAACATCAAAATCTATATAAATCGATAATCCAAAAAAATGTAACCCTTCCCCAAGTAAGATAAATAAACTTATTAACATTAACCATAAATCATCGTATCAAACCCAAGGAAATTCGTAAACGCTGTCGTCAAAGATGATTATTGGTCAATGGCAAAAAAACTCTCAAAAGCTGATTCTTAGGGGGGATAACTTTTTATCCGCGATGATCGCTCGAGAATGAGATAAAGAAAGAGATAAAAAGTTAGAGATAAAGAGAGAGAGAGAGAGAGAGAGAGAGAGAGAGAGAGAGAGAGAGAGAGAGAGAGAAAGAAAGTGAAAAAAGATAAGAGAAAGGGATCGGAGGTGGGCAACCAACGTTCTCGCCTTGAGCAAGAGACCCGTTTCAAAGACACGTTGAGCAAAACCAAGGGAGGAGAATGAGGAGGAGGAAGAGGTGGGGATTCGGGGCTAGGGCTAGGGGACTGGGACGAGGACGAGGAAGGAGAAGGGGCTCAGGGGGAGGGCTTCTCCCTAAAATATGTGAACCCACGGGCTACACTCGGACTCTTCGCGTTACATCCTGCTGAACGCTCCGAGCGTATACTCGTCCGTTATGCCGGCAGTCTGTATATCGTATGATACAAAAACATGACATTATTTTCTTCCTTCTTTTTCTCTATGTTTCTCATTCTCTCTCTGTCTCTGTCTCTGTCTCACTCTCTTTTTCTGTATCTCTCAGTACCTCCCACTCTAACGACTCATCTCGTTCGCTACTCCCTCCTACCTTTCTTACTCAACCCCCCTTTCTTGTCCTCCTGAGTTCTTCCATATGTAGAAGCATCATGCTTTTGAATTACGACCGATTATTATGCTTCTCCGAGAACATCTTCCGTTTTTTTTCTTTTTTTTTTTTTTTTGCATTTTTCTTTCTCTCTCTTTCTTTCTTTAGAAGTTGTAACGCGGATTACACCTTCATTCGGTTTCATGAATGAAAGAATAGGATAGAACAAAGGGAAAAACTCGGAGGAATAAATCATGTATATACGCGAATTGAGGGAAAATATGAGAGGTGATAGTGTATAATGGATTCCGAAATGACTGTTCACAGTAGTTTTGTTTGCTATGAAATTGGAAGGATTGAGAGAGAGGTTATTGTAATAATGGAATCGAACGATTAAATCGATTATTTACAGCAACGTCGATTGGAATCTTATCGGAATGATAGTTGGTATACTCGTACCTATAAAATCTAAATAATAGAATAATATCATATAGAAGAGTTTAACGAATCATTCATTTATGATAAGGTTGTAAAAATATATTATATAATATATAAGTCTCAAAGGGAATTATAGACGGTTAATAAATCTAATGAACAATTTATTTTGAACTAGTTGTACGTTTCGTCCCTTACTGGGGACTTCATCAGCAACTAAAAAATTTTTTATTATGACTTGTTAATAAATATAAAACATTACATTAAATTCTAATTTTTTACCTTGATCATTTACAGTTCACATGTCACCCTTTGAGACTTATATATTAATATATTTTTGGACAAAAATATTGATAATTAAATTATATTATATAATATTGAAAATAAAATGTGTATTCACAAACGCGATAGAATATTTTCTAACAAAGTGTAAAACAGTAGTACTGTTGTTGAAAATCCAACGGTACCCATAGAGAGATACCGGTCCCTAAAAGAAAATATCGGAAACGAATGGCTACGATGATAGCCATGGTAGGCATCGGTAGGTAGGTAGGTAGGTATCCGAATGTCGTTGGCTGTTTCTAACTGGAAGCACGTACATACGCGGATCGTGTCGCTTTGTCCCTGACAAAGTTTATGTATGTGAGCAGCAGAATCGTCCAGTGGGTTTAGAAGTGCTCCAGGCTATCTGAAACGATGTTGTTGGCCATGGCCGTTTTGCCAGGGGGCATCTCGAATAGGACAGAACGAGGCTGGCAGGCAGGCAGGCAGGCAGGCAGGCTGCTTGGTTGCTTCCCTTTATATCTCGACCCTCACGTTCTGCCCTATTATGCCTAATACTTGATTCTTTTTAACATATTTACGTTTAATATGTACGTCCTCCAAAAATCATATTGAATTATCATTCTAACGATAATCTTAAATATTATAAAAAATATGCATACACGCGTGACGTTAAATTTAATTTGAATATTACTTAATTATTATCTAATGTAGACAAAAACTTGACTCATCTGCTCATAATACCGGTGTACCTACTATCTATCGTAGGTAGATGGGTATATAAGAAGGGTGACTTCAGTATTACAAAAGCTGTGGAGGGGGCCGAAACGCTCCAAGCTGGCAAAGCTCTCGCAAGAAGCTTGTGGGATGGGAGTTGAAGAGGAGGTCAGAAGAGGAACGAAAAAAAGCCCGTTGGCGATGCTCTCGTGATCGTTGGTTGTATTGGTGCATATAACGTTAGCCTCACTCACCCAATGTTACTCTGGTGGCGCTCGAGAGAGCGCGAACACTCGAAACCGACGACCAAGTCGCAGTCTCATCGAAGCCGCGGTCGTGCGCGGCTTGATGAACTAGTTCTGCGTATATCTATAAACGAAAGAATACACACGTGAACGTCAAAACCACGTGGGTTGGTGGGTGGGTGGGTGAAATTGTTCGATGAATCTTACGACACCAATACGAAATGGACATTAAGTTTTTCTATATCTCAGAATAAAACTCGAGAAGAGAATTAAGGATAAGTGTTGAGTTTCCCCCTTTTTTTTTTTCTTTCATCATCTTATTGGAGGAGTAACCTGACTGACCATTCCAAAATAGTGGACATCAGAACAACCGTCAACCTGGAGTCCACGTGCCAGAAACGGTGAGTCCAACATTGATAACTTCAATCATTTGCAATCGTACGAATTGTTTCTGTTTCCTCGATTTTGCTCAACTTCTTCTTCTTCTTCTCTTACGTTTCAAATCGATAATATTCGTACTCGAAAGTAATTCACTTTACAAAATATACATCAAATGGTTTTCGGAACATTGTTTTTCTTTTTTACCGAGGTAGAGAAGACTTTCACTTGTAAGCACAGTTGTATTAAATTGAATGGAAACGGAAATTAAGCATATAAGTAGGTATACGATACGAGCATATACCTACCTGTTTGGTATCTTAAAAGTAAGACAACATCTATATGCAAAGGATATTCACGCCAACTTTCTGATTCCATCGCGTGACGCCGATTCCATGGTTAAACACAGCAATGCGCCGAACGTGTAACACGTTCTCAAATGCATAACACGTACTTCATGTTACGTACAACTTTTCCTACCTACGATCCATTGTTCGATATCTTTTCAATCATAATTTTAAATTTACATGGACATTTTCTACGCTCATTATCAATGCCATTCTCGAATATCGCCTATCATCGGAACTATCTATCTGATTTAAAGAAAAAAATGTTACCTTTCGAATATCACATTAGAAATCTATCGCTAAATAATACTTATACCATCCGATAGATACAAGTATCGTACTTAATAAAATCTAAAAATGAAACGACATGACAAAATGTTACCCCCAACAAACAAACAAAAAAAAACTAGAAAAGAAATGATTAATAACAAATAAACGATAGGAAAGATTAACTAAATGTAATAATCAAATTTTCTAATAACGATCGAATATAAAAGCATATACTAACAGTCCTATTTCGATGATAAATGCAATACGATATCAGCAACTTTGAAAAAAAGCTATTGGACGGTAACGTATAGTACAAGAGTATGTATAAATGTATCCCTTTATGTACGTGAATATTTGCGAGCATGCATCTCTATATGCATTTTCATATACATTCAAATTTATCTTTACGTGTGTGTGTGTGTGTCAGAGCACGCTCGCGGCGTAAAAGAGGGTCGGTGAGCCTCGGTTCTCGCATTTCAGAACGGATGTGGGCTCTGTGGAAATTGTGCTGGGGTAGTAAAAGGAAGGACTGTATACGGGGGTGAAAGAGGGGTTGTTCGCGCGCGCACAGGTTGGAAGGAACGCGGGGGTTGGAAAAGGGGGCCGAAGGCATGGCCCCGAGCGCAGACGCGTTCTGCAGTTGCCGTAATTAGAACCGAACGCTTCGAGCATTTAGCCCTGGGCTGACGAGTCTCCCGCGGACTCGAAATTATTCACGAAGCCGCGCCACCAACGGCGAAATTTTCTCGTAAATATTTTCTTCTCTTTCTTTCTCGAAAAAAGAGATAGATAGATAGATATAAAAAGAACGCTATCGTTCCTGATGGCTGACTTCATAAGTCGTTAACGTATATTATATAAAGATCGTTCGTTCGTTGTACTTGTCTATCGAAAATATCAAACAAACAAAAAATACACATACCAGAAAAAAAGACCTAAAGAATCCCTTTTTTATCTTCTTTTTCTACCATTGATAAGTCTCGAATGTGTTTTTTTGGAAGATATCATCGCGAAATAGTATCGCGACACCATAAATGCACGTTAAATGGTATTTTATATATATATATATATATATATATATATATATATTCATGATTGATAGAAAGAGAATTACATGTATTTCGATACTATTTTATTTATCGAACTATTTAATAATATATTTCCAAGTCGAGAATTTTCATTTGAATCGAAATATTTGAATAATTTTATATTTGATCTTTAAATTTGTCTAAATCGTATTGATTTAAATTAAACCAGGAGGATTCATAATGGATGGATAAAAAGTTATGTTTTACAAATGGAAGGAAACAATTTTAAATTTAATCTAATGTTTCGAGATTTTGTCCGAGTTAAAATATATTCGCATATATATATATATATATATATAACTGCAACAACTCGCGGTGCATGAAATTCCAATCAGGCTTAAAACCGCGCGACGTGTCTCGGTCAGAGTTTCCGTCTCGTAGGGTAAGTAGGTGAGAGTAAGTGGTGGGAATAAGCGAGGATGAAATGGAGCAAGACACGCATTCGCGCGTATCGGGAGTGCCTCCTTGCTCTGGTCTTAAGATATATATGTGGGCAGGTACGTATGTACCTAATCTAAACTAGCAGGTACATATATATACCTGGGGGCCATGGACCGTAATAAAGAAAGGCTAAAAAGTTCAAACAGAAAATGAACAAAACTGAAAAATAAATTTCTTGTCCCCACCCCTTTCCTTTACCAACCCCCCCCCTCTCCCTCTCCCCCATTGCAACTGGGACACGTAAGAGATGGCCTAAGCAAGAAATTACAAAATAAGTCTAAACAAATCAAAAATCTACGTGTTGACGATGTTACTTCGAACATTTTCATTTGATTATTTCTGTCAATAGAATATTTCTTTAATTATCATTATTAATCGCGAAACTTTTAACCCGAATTATCCGAAGAAAAAAAATTGTTTTAAATTATCAACATATATTATTCGAAATGTCTTTAACGTTAAATAAGAAGTATCGTCGAATAGGATTATATTTTATGAAAGCGCACGCGATTTGCATCGGTCGTCGTAAGAGGAGAAACTCGATTTGAGTTAACCGGTGAAAAGGCCAAAGGAACTCTCTAACACCGCATGGGGCGGATGCGGAAATCATTGTCGGTTGTAATTAACTAGGATTCTTTAATAACTTGAACGATGGACGTGATGTAAAGAAAGATATTTGGACGTATCTTCGTTTATTTGGATTTGATCGATGAGATGAGACAACTGACTAGATCATCCATGAGATTTCATTATGTTCCAATCAAATGAAATTCAATTTTTATAAATTCTGAAATAACAACAAATCTTTCTTTTAACAAATACAAACACCAGAGCGATGTTGTTGAATTTGAACGTAACGTTCAAGTACCAACTGAACATCCAATTGCTGTACCACGTCATAGCAATAAACGTCTAAATATCTTCCATCGTATACGTATATTTTTTATTTCTTTTTTATCGAGAAAATATTTAGTAAACTGGACACGAAGAAATATATATATATATATACATATGTGGCGCGTGCTCGTGCGCGCACAAACTGGAGGCCGTTCACCGTCAAGAATGAAGAAAACGAACTCGCACGCGGACTCTTCTTTTGCGTTTCCTCCACCTCCTTCATCTCGCGTGTGCCATTATGCCGCAAGTATAGATATATACATATATATATATATTTTTCTTCTATTTTTTCCCTTGCATGACCACAGATATACCCTTAGCTCGTACACGCATACACACACACGCGCACACACACATGCACACATATTTCCATTACTTCTGACATTATTTTGTTTCTCGTTTCTCTAGTACCCCTTTTACGACTGGATCGACATACGATTCTCTCTCTTATTCTCTCACTCTCTCTCTCTCTCGTGGATTTTCTTCTTCCATTCTCTCTCTCTCTTTCTTTCTTTCTCTTTCAAACGAACGAACGAACGAACGAACGAAGGAACGAGCAAGCGACCGACCACGATCGGCTGAAGAATGTAATGTAATGCCTTGTGGCATAAAATATGCGCGCCATCATTTTTCAGTTATCTCACTTGCGGATAGTCTCGTTTAAAATACAAAAAAAAAAAAGAAAGAAATGCACTCTTAAGTATTTACCCAACGAAAATAATATTAAATTTCATCCGACGTCTTTGTGCGATATGTGTATAAAAACAAAAATACTATTATACTATTCAGAAAAGGGGATGGTCTAGGGTGGGGAGATTTGAAGTAGTTTGTATTTCGTTAGAAAGTCTCGCTCACGTATAAACACCCGTATCTTTTAAATACCCTATTTATAATGTTAGATCATTTTAAATTAATTGAAATATTAATGATCCTTTAAGATCATTCATATTTCAAATTAGAAAATATAATCTAACCGTGCTCGTTAAATTAATTAATTATCATAGTTAACGTTAAATGTATATTTTCAATTGGATTATTAGCGCAGTTTCTTTTCTTTTTTTTTCTTTTTTTCTCCTATTTAATCTTTAACATTAATATTTTTAAATGCCAATTAATATACCTCCTCTACTTTGGTTATTTAATTCCTTTTTTTTGTTTTTTTTTTTTGTTTTATCTCTCGCAGTTTCGGTTGAAACATGTGTCATTATACGCCCACGTTTCTAGTAATAATACGCGTGTTGTATTTGTATGCATGCGTACATGCGTGCGTGTGTATATGCATGCATGCACAGTACCTTTGACAGTTATACATCTCGATGCCTACTAAAACGCATATCCGCCTTCCGCGAACGCATACTACTACTACTACTACATACTCGTGTGTTTGCCCGAGTGAATTTATTTCCCTCTGACGATGAAAGACCATCACTAGAAAATAAAACAAAACAAAATAATCCGGATCAATCAACGCGTCTCTCTTCCCCGCCCTCGACCGAGACCGACCTACTGTCGATACTTCTTAACGAGTTATTCCCCATCTATCTATGCAGGCTATCGCGGAAGTTCTTCTTCTTCTTATTCTTATTTGTCTATTTTTATTTTTTATACTTGAGAAACCTGAACGTAAATTTACGTGATGTTGAACGTAAAACATATATATATACATTTGCATGTAATGCGTAAGATACGTAAGATGCACATAAACGTATACAATATCAAACCTAAATTATTGCCAAAGATTACATTTTCGTTTAAATGATTATTATCGTTATTTTATTTTTTTATATAATACTTCCTTAAGAGAAGTTCCTCGTAAGTATTTGATAGAATAAATGGTAGATTAAATTAGTGTACGATAAAAAAAAATAAATAAATATAACCGAAAAATGATATATTTAAAGTTTAGATTTTAGTTTAGAAAATTATTTTGAAATTGTTAAACAACCGTTACTTTTTGTGTTTTGTTGTTTTTCCTAGGTAGATATAATTCTCGTTAATACGATGTTATTTACGTTAAACATAAATTTCAGGACTAAATCTATTGCGAAAAGCCAAGAGGAGTGTGTTACACGATAATGACGCAACGGAAAGGACAATAAAACGTTTTAGTAATAGTCTAAACTGATGGTGTCTATGCCGCAAGCTAATCCAAAACGATACGTTCCTAGGTAGATATCCTGGTATTTGCATCGTCGATTGTACCGTTGTAGGTAAATGCATAAACGAGTTGTTGCAATTACTAATCGATCATCATAATGTGACGGTCTTGTCGAGCATAGTATCTTTCATTATTCACAATTACGATCGTTTACTAAACAATAATTCCTTATTCGTGTATATATATAAAATGAAATATATTGTCTACGATTAATTATTCTCATTTAATAATATAATTATATCTTCCTTTTTTTTTTTTTTTTTATTATTTTATCGTCATTGTTCGTTCACGATGTAGTGAAGCTTTTTTTTTTATTTGGCGCTTTGATTCTCTCTTCTTAACCGTTGAAGCTGGTTCCGTTTAGTTGAACGCAAGTTAAATATTGTTTCTCTGCTAATTGGCTTATTAATATATATGAAAATTATGTGTTAATGTTCGACCCGGGTAGAAAGGTAACGTTGGAATGGGTGAACCATGCTATTGTGCCCGACCAAAAGCAATATAACAGTTAAAATCAACGCTGTCGTCGCTTGACCGAACGATACCTGACCACTTGGAATCGATAAACGAAATTCTCTCGGTAAATTGATAATATTTTATTTCTCTTACATGTAAATACACGTGTTTTACACGTAGGTCGGAACTGTTACGAATAAAATATTTCGACTATTTTACTTTATACGATTGTAAAAATTGATCGAAATTTTGTTTCCGTCTCATTTTCAAACATTGTTTCACATCTAACAATTCACATATTACATCTTTTCAAATTTCCAATCGACTTACATCCCGAATCACTTTCCACGAGTTTTCAAACGTTAATTTACTTCCAATCGATATTTAAACGTTCCTATTTTTATTTTTGTTAAAATAAAACATTGTAAGAAAATATTCGATATTATTCAAAACCGTTTTACAATTTATCTCGCTATCATACGTTTTAGTTTTAATGATTTTTTCATAATTATCAGCCTCTGTTCATCTTTTCTTTTCTTTTCCCTGATTACAGACGGAAATGTGAGGCCGACGGGAAGGAGGCGAAGGCCGAGCTAACGGCGCAACGCAGTATGTTCCCTAGCGCACAAATTAAGATGAGGCAAGTATAAAGAAATAAATTCTATAAAAAAAAAAGAAAAAAGAATAAAACAAAATTACAATCTCTCTTTCTCTCTCTCTCTCTCTCTTTATTACCACGAGCCATACACCGTGTAAATTATTATCGACATAATTGCGGTTAGAATATTAATGAGTTACTACGTTCTGTTATTATAAAGAAATCTATAAAACGTCTGTGAACATGAGCCCTAAAAGAAAACGTTAGAAAAATTTATTAGAAAAATATTTTTTAAAGTTCAACGACAATGAAAAAAAAAAAAAACATAAGAAAAAAATATGTTTCTTTTGATTAGATTGCTGTCGCCAAGCAGTTCGCCGGCCACGTCGCCTACAATGTCGAATTCCTCGTCACCGACACCACCGACGCCAGTTACCCCGGTTTACAATCAAAAGATGACGGGTATACCGTGTGTAGCAGCAGCTTCGAGGTATACGGCACCGGTCCACATTGACGTTGGTGGTACGATATATACATCCTCCCTCGAAACTCTAACCAAGTAAGTCAACATCTCCGAGGATACTAAATATATAACAATTGTGTGATCTATATCATCTAGGAAACGGGTTAATAACTCTATCAATCTATCAAATATATATATATAAAAAAAAAAAAAAAGTACAGGCTGTTATATATCGGGTTAACATTTTCAAACATAACAAAATTAACTGATATTATATTATAAGATATAATAAAATATATATCCTATATATAAATTAAACAAAATATTAAACATAATTCTATCCCGTTTATAATATCAAAAATTCTGGACTCAAATTTTTCAAACTTATTGATCAAATTAATGTATCAGATATATCTAATTAAATGAAAATCGTTAAAGAGACATTAATTTATCTGATTATTTTTATCAATTTAATGTTTAAAGTAACGATTATAGGTAAATTCCCGATAATAATTCGATCTCGATTTATCTTTGAAAACAACACATTCGCGATCGTAAAATCGTAAAGACGAAACTCGTACATAATATTACTCCGTGTAACCAACTCGCACGAATCGTGTGTAAGGACAAGACGTCGAAAGCGGAGCAAGCAATCCAACCGATGTGAGTCGATCGTTTAGCCTTTTCCCATAGCGCGAGAGGATCTGACCCGGGATCGGGTCCGGTCGAAGTACGGTCGAGGCACGCTCGGTGTGTTCCCCTCTTTGGTGGGTCGAAGAAATCGCCCGAGGTAATCACGGCGTTTCGTTCTCCGCCCTTGGTACCGGCCGCGGCTTTTCCTCCTCTCCCCAACCCCCTTACCATCCCCCCTTACCTTCTTCTTTTTCTTCTTCTTCTTTGACTTCGACTGTTAAACATCTCTTTTTTAACGCGACTCTCTCTCTCTCTCTCTCTCGTTTTCTGTGTGTGTGTGTGTGTGTGTGTATCTTTTATATTTCGCGTGCGTCCACTTCCTCAATAATAATTCTTCATAGACCAATCTCCTGACCATTCTTACATTTTGACCTATCGATCTGAGTACTAGCATACACGATGTACGATATGTACGAACTATCCTACGTGTAACTACTGCATATATATATATACGTGCCTTGTGCTACCGGGCTGACAACAGCCAACACCTTGACAGTGAACATTTTCCTATTATCCGAACGGGTGCTTCCAACGTGAGATCAATCGACACGGATATACTTTTATGAATAAGGGATATATTATATCTACGTACATAGTTGAAACGGGGGGGAAGGGAGGGGGGAGGGAACCCATCGGAAGAATTTCTCGAACGTTGGTAAGATATAGTTGGGGGAAATAAAATGAAATAAAATAAAATAATAAAAAAAAAAAAAAAAACTAGTACGTATCGCACGATAGAATATCTTTCGTTTCTGTCTTTTCCAACAAAGTCAGATTGCCCGTAGGCTTCACGAGGCCATCGTTATTATATGTTATCGCCGTGGAAGGTATGGGAACCGGCTTGAGGAGGCACACTAGGTACTACATCGGCATTTCCCCTCCCCCTCCGTCCCCCATTCGGCCCCCCACCCATCTTCTCTTCGCCAACCCGTATACCATAACGCACCCGGTTGTGCTTCAACACGAGCACCACCGTCTCAGTCCTATCTTCTTCTTATTCTTCTTATTCTTCTTTTTTCTTTCTTTCTTCCTTTCTTTCTTTCTTTCGTTCGTTCATTTTTTCGTTCGTTCGTTCAAAGCCGATTCGCGGATCTCTTAACGCGTTCCTCGAGTTTCCTCAACTCGTTTTTTTCCAACACCGGCATACTCGTCTATTATATGCTAAATTACGTCGACCTTCAATCGCGCGCACACACGAAACAGAGAATCGAGAATCGAGAATCGATGTTACATCGTAGATAATACAAGTCAACGATTATCTTACTTAAAAACTTAAAAGATGAAGAGAGAGAGAAAGAGGGATACATGTATATATAAGAAATAATTGATTTTCAGGTATCCAGAATCGAGGCTGGCCAAATTATTCAATGGTAGTATACCTATTGTTCTGGACTCCTTAAAGCAACATTATTTTATCGACAGGGATGGTAGTATGTTTCGACACATACTGAATTTTATGCGAAATTCACGATTATTGATACCTGACAACTTTGCCGATTTGGATTTATTGCTAGAAGAGGCGCGATACTTCGATATTGCACGTAAGTCGAAAAAATATTATTACAAGATACTATTACTTAAATACCGAAGACCTATACTAATCGTTCGTATATGTTCTATTTCATTTTTTTTCTTAGCAATGTGCAAACAATTGGAACAGATAAAAAAGGAACGAATAAAGAATGGCATTACGAATTTATCATCGACGACAGGCTCGGCTTGTTCAACGGCAACCTCAACAGCCTCGGCAGCGTCAACTATGACAACAACGACATCCTCGTCGCCTAAACAAGGCTCGGGAAGACAAATTGGCATGCGCGGTAAAGGAACGTCGAGTTGTTCCCTCGAGTGTACGGGTTGTTCGAGTTGCGTGTCGCCGTGCGATCACGAGGCCGAAAAATTTCGCGGTACCGAGGGTAACCGCAGTTACGAATGCGTTGCCCTACATGTCAATCCTGATCTCGGTGAAAGAATAATGCTCTCGGGTGGTCACACACTTCTCGATGAAGTATTTCCCGAGGCTATGCAAGCTGTGATTAACGCACGTTCTGGCATTGCCTGGCATCAACAGGACACCCGTCATGTCATCAGGTTTCCACTGAATGGCTTTTGCAAACTCAACTCCGTTCAAGCTATTACCCGACTACTCAACGCAGGATTTCGTATTGTTGCCAGCAGTGGTGGTGGTGGTGAAGGTCAACAATTTTCGGAGTACCTATTCGTCAGACAAGCTGTTAATACCTGACGGAAAACGATCCACTATTATCTCATCTCATCGTTTTATCAATTTTCGCGATTTATGTCGTCCCTAATATCGAATACTCGAGTCAACCGAACCATCGAGATTCAAACAATTTTTTTTCATTACCAATTATCTACAAAGCTAAATCTATTTTTGCTTAGCAATTGGAACGATCGATTAGATGACGTTAAAAACCGTTCGATGATTTATTAAATATCGGTAACCCTGTCTCTTTCCTGATTTTGACTTCAAAACAAATGACCAAATTCAACAACCTGAACGAGGAAAAAAGATATTTTGCGTCAGAGTCTTTACGTGAAATGAACGTAATTAATGTTAGCTTTAAAGGAATAATACATATAAAAGAAGAAGAAGAAGAAAAAAAAAATAAAGAAAGAAAAGAGAAAAAGAATATGAAGGAGTGGAAGAACACCATGTCAGCATTCGTCCAAGGATAAATATTTTATTCGATATTGCTCTTTTTAAAAAAAAGATTCTGTACTTAAAGATAAGTAGCGTATCTTTATAAATGCAGACCCGTCTTTCAAATTTGTTATTATATAATAAGATGTACTTATATGTATTTATATGCCATATTAATTATTGTAAATATCGCGAATAAACTACCGTTCGTCTCTATATACACAAACACACACATACGAATTGTTACGTATGCGACGGATGTTATTTAAAAAAAAAAAAAAAAAAAAAAAAAAAAAAAAAAAAAAAAAAAAAAATTAATCTTTTTAATCTTTTTAATTTTTTTTATATATAAAAAAAAAGAAAAAAATATTACATATACTTTTCAGTTGATCCACGTAACTCGATACCAAAAAAATAATACGCATGTCGCGTATCCGCGTTGAATAATTGGCAATAACATTTTTCAACTTACGTATTATTATTTTAACGCGGCCAATAAAAATAGATCGAATATAATAATAACAACTTATTAAAACGTTAGGATGAATAAAAGGAAGAGAAAAAAAAAAGTGAGAGATGCGCCGCCGATCGCGTAACCTCCAGAACGAGGAATAAAGCGTAGGAGAAGATCGTAGCCACGGGCCCCGTTTCTATGGTAACCATGAACTCAATATCCGCGCCGCCGACAGGCACAACTAGCCCCAGGCTGTCATCCCTCGAACCAGTCCCGCTTTTGCCGTCGTCGAGTTCGCCGATCTCTCCCTTGCAACCCACCTTTGCCTCTTCTCTTCCTGCCTACCTCCCTACCCCCTAGCCCCCTACCACCCTTTCCTATCTCCTACCCATCCTCACTTTCTCCTCCTCCTCCCCCCCGCCCCTCCCCCTCTATCTTCTTCCTCGTCTTGATTATATCCCATTTCTAGATCGCCGCAGGGACTACTCTCGTACACCGGGTCCTCCGATACACGACACGAGGTGAAGTAGCCTTTGGCATCAACGTAGAGAAGATGGCTTTGAAATTCTGGAATTTCTCGTGATTTTAGTATATGGATAATCTAATTGTTTTATGCGAATCCCTATCTCTTTATTTCTCTCTCTATCTATCTTTCTTTCTTTCTTTCTTTCTTTCTTTCTATCTTTCTTTCAATCAAACTTTTAGAAAAATGTTAGATCATTTTTTTCGTTGTCGTTATTGTTTGTTGTTGTATTATAAAATAATTAGGATAATATTAGAATCGAATCCATTTTGTATTTCGTTATCACGTCTCGTTATAGTGAGATAAATAATATGAAATATTATCATTAAATATTCTATTCTTAAATATAATTAAATTAATTACGAGATATAATAATTAGATTCTTGTTAACAGTAGTGATCACATGAAACGACTCAGCCATTAATCTTTTAACTTTTATTTATACACTCATCATCTTCTTTACCGAACGAGCTATGATCTTTACAAACATTTGTTCGTAATTGTAACCATTGTCCCGATTTTTTTCTTCTTTCTAGTTTTGATTGCTTTTTGTTACCGAGCATCGTAACTTCCTCGTTAATATATCATAAGCAATTACTAAGCCTCCCGGTCTTCACTGTCATATATCATCATTAATCATCGAATTAGAATCTATTCATAAAAAGTTTGCTTGAGGTATTAATTTCGGATAAAAGAGATCCCACTCCTTTCTGCAGTAGGATAGGAGAGGAATAAAAAGAGGAGAGATTACAAATACAAGGAAAGTAGCAGAAAAAATTTGGCATAAAACCGCAAAAGCAGAAAAAAATGTATAAGTGCTCTTAATTTCTCATTAATTGTTCAATCAAAATCCATTTGCTTACTTTATTAATTAATTATTTAATTAGTTATTAATAATTGATAAATTAAAAACGTTTTTTCTCATTTCTAAGCAAGGCAACGAAGTTTTCTATTGCTTTTTGTTTTCAATCAATTGCTTACTTTTTGTTTGTCCGGCTCCTATATATAAACTTTATTTTATTAAATATTTTTTATTTATCGTTAATTAGATGAAAATAATTATTACACTTTGAATATTTATGAATGGGAGATATGTTGTATGCATGCGTATCACAAATTCTAGACGCAAGCACACTTTAAAAAAAAATGAAAGTAAAATTGATATACCTGCAGGGGATATATTTAAAAGTGATTTCCTAAAACCTATAGGGTAGTGAAAACAAATAAGTTAATCGTTCATAATGTATAAACAATAGGTAAATATTTTCATTTTTTCATTATTTTCTGCTATTGCGGTTCTATGCCAACTTTTTTATGGTGAAGTATATAGAAACTCACAAGTCCCCTTTTTTATCTACGTAGCATCATTTTTGTTACCACTGGGACCACTATTGAACGATAGTAGGTACTTAATGCGATGACGATATAATGCTACCAAAGAATACACTATTCTTTGATAGTATAAATAGTATAGTTTTACTGTAATAAAATTTTAAATAAATATATTTAATTTTTAATGTATAAACATGTGTGTGCCTTCAGAAATGCATTTATACGTATATTTTAAAATGAAGCAATTTAAGACACTMAAATAAAAAAGAATCCAGAAGGTTTGATGATAAATCCAACGATGATCACCTGTAACAAGAAGAAAACTATATTAATCATACAGACAAGTGATACAATAGCCTG